TGGAAAAAAAAATCGATATTAGTATCAAATGAACTATCTAATAGTTCTCGTTTTTTTAGTGTAACTTCTTTAATTAATTTTTTTTATTATAAGTTAATTTAGACTTAATAACAAAATAATTTATTTTTAGTTTAATAATATAATTTTTTATAAATATAATAATTAAACATTATGTTAGAACCCAATGGTTATCTTAATTATATTTTAGATTTTTTATATTTAAAATGAATGTTTATTATGTATTTGATTATGTTTATCTACAGTTAGTTACCCGAATTTAAAAATGAAGCTTTAATAAGTTGCACTCATGCAAAATTACTTGTAATCTTGAGTTGTAAGTAATATACATTAATAAACAGTACTTCACGCATAAAAAATGGTTTTTAAGAGTTTTTGTCAAATAATTTATAATATAATATAGATAAATTATAAAAAATCTACTTAAGATATTCTTAATTTTTTTTATTTTTAGATAAATAGATTGAGATTCTTCGAATTTAAAAAACTTTTAGAAATATCATCATCAAGAGAAATATTATTTTGAAAATATTATTGACAATAAATTTTAAAATTAAATATTTAAAAAATACTTTACTAAATGTAATTATCAAAATGGAAAACTATTAAAATTGAATTATTATTATTTAAAATATTTTGAATTTAAATCCATATTAACCAATGGTCCAAAGTTGATTTTGAATGTCGAACAAACATTCTGAAAAACGATTAAATTGACGTAAATATAATATTAATGGATCTATGAAAGCAATAAACCACCTGTCATTAAATAAAAATTAATAAGTAAAAAAGCATTTAAATATATAAAATGCCTCTTATCGAAAAAAATTAAAATAGAGTTTATTACATCAACAACTTAGGGGCCGTTTACCAAACAATAACCTTGTAAGTGTTTACGGGTAAAATTTAGTATTATTATTAATTTATAGGGTAAGATTTTAGTCCACCAAAACGATATCGTATGCAACAATTTACCCCGGTAAGCGTTTACTGTGGTAAGAGTCGGTGCCCTCACTTACCGGGGAAGGCTCGTCGTTTTCACTTACCGGGTAAGACTTTTGGTCATTCTCTCGTTCTTACCGGGTAAGATTCTTGGTCTTTACCATATTCATGCGGTGAGTTAATGTTAGTTGGTAAGCGCTTACCAGGCAGGGTAAGCGTTTGGTAAACGGTCCCTTATACTCATTCCGTCAAAAAATAAATGCCTGTATTTTTATTTTAGATTGTTCAAAAATAAATGTTTATTTATCAAGTAAAATGTCTACTCTACCATATGATCCTTAATTATGAAATGAAGAGATATTTTTTTCTACTATTAAGGTGGCGTTTGGTTCGTAGAATGTTTTTGAATGGAATGAAATTTGTTAAAGAAATTTTACTTTTAAGAAATTGGAATGGAATGTTGTCAGGTTTGACCACTTGTTTGGTTGACATACATTGAAATGGAATATGTTAAGAAATTAAAATCTGTTTATTTGGTTTACAGAATGTAGCTTTTGAATTGGAATGAAATATTAGTCAAAAATGTCCTTTTTTGAAAATTTTAATTTTTTTAAAAACAAAAATACTTTAATAAAATAATTATATAATATGTAAAACGATATAAAATACACAACCCGAATATAAATATAAGCCAAACGACGTGGTTTAGATCGGTGGTGGTTCATAGTGGTTCAGATGGCGATGATCGACTGTGGTTCAGATCGAGGGTGATTCAAATCAACGATGGATCAAATCGGTGATGGTTCAGATCGACGGTGGTTCATAACGTAGTGATCGACGGTGGTTCAAATTAGTGGTGGTTCAGATCAATAGTAGTCGGTGATGGTGGTTGGCGGTGGTTTAGATGACTATGGTTGGCGGTGGTTCAGATGGCAATAGTCGGCGTGATTCAAATCGACGGTGGTCGACGATGGTCATATTGGGTTTTATAAGATTAAAGTATATTAGGTTAAGAACATATTTGGTATTATGAAAAAAAAAAATTCATTCCATCAAAATATCATGTAGTTGTTTAAGAATGTTAAATTCCTTTATTTGTGGAATTTGTAGGATTCTGAAGATTCATTTTGTGAAAAAAAAAAAAAGAACCAAACGAGAGAATAATATTTGGCCAATGAAATTCAACATTCCAATTCCATCAGATTTCTTCAAAATACGAGAACCAAACACCCCCTAAGAGTAAAACTGCCATTTAGTTAACTAAAAAGTGTAATACTAACATATCCTTAAAATTATGTGTTTTTTATTGTTGACATTTATTTTGGCACTAAGAGAGTAATTATTGGCAGTAGTAAAAGTTATTTAGATTAATATCTTATCAGTTATTTTAAAATATATCTCAAAATAAAACTGCTTTCATTTATGTCATGACAATGAAAACAAATATTTGCATCAGTAACATACAAAACATTATTTTAACAACGTTTTAGAAGTCGTGAAACTTCATTGTGGAACATAACATTTCATTTTGCATCAACAACAGTATACAAAACATTGTTTTAAATCAATAAAATGTCATTATTGAACAAAAGCTTCGTTAAATAAAACTGATAATAAAAATAACTATAAAAAATTGCTATTTGTAATAAAATAAAAGGGTACTCGTACATAGGCATGGCAATGGGGCAGGGATGGAGCGGGTTTTGTAATCCCCGGCCCCCGCCCCGGTTTGTAGTAACGTCCCCGGTCCCCGGCGGGTACGGAGATTATCATCCTGTCCTCGGTCAAATCTCTAGCAATCCCCGGTCAAACCCATAAATAGTTTCCCTTAGTTTGATTCTACCGGGGATCCCCGTCCTCGGCCCCCGGTTTGAGTAACATCCTCCGTCCTCGGCCCCGGGATCCGTTTTAGCGGGGAATCCCCGTCCCCGTTCGGGTCGGGTGAACCGGGTTCCCCACCGGGTCGGGGCAAATCACCATCCCTACTCGTACAATGCAGCGAGTTACATCTCGATTTTAATGTTTTTTTTTTCTTCTCGATTTTAGTGTTTCGACAATGTTTTTATTTATGAATAAAATATAAATATGGAGATATATCATAAGAAAACTGCAAAATAAATATCGATATTAAATACCAAATTGATTATTTAAATTTCTCTTTTTTGTGTACTTCTTTAATTCATTTTTTTTTATTTTTGTTTAATAATATAATAATTTATAAAAATAATAATTAAGTACTTTTATTATAACTCAATGATTATTCTAATAATATTTTAGATTTTTTATATTTAAAATAAGATGTTTATCCTCTATTTGATTATGTTTATCTGCAGTTAGTTACACAAATTCAAACATAAAACTAATAAGTTGTACTTACACACAGTTTACTTGAAATCTTGAATTGTAAGTAATAAGCATCAATAAACAATACTTCATATATAAAAAATGGTTTTTAATTTTTTTTTTGTCAAATAGTTTATAATATAGTATAAATACTGATCTAACACAAATTTAAAAATGGCATTGTGAAAATTTAAAATTGAGAAAAAAAACGAAACTTTCAAACATGTACACCAACGAATATAAATCAAAATAGTTGGTAAAGCTACTACACAAACAATATATAAGAATATTCCATTATTTAAAATAATAAATAATCTAATTAAAAATATTTAAATATTAATAAAGCTTAAAATATCTATTACTTGTACGATCTGATCGTTTTATTATATGCTTACCCGGTAAATGTTTATTGACGAGAGTTATTCTCTTATTTATTTTATGAGATAACATTCTCGACCATCAAAATTGATTAAAGATAATCGTTTATAACCCAATAAACGTTTACAGGGTAAGAATCGACACTTTCACTTATTGGATAAGACTTTTGATCTCTGTTTTTTCCTCTTATCAGGTAAAATTCTTAGTTTTTTTTTATGTTCATCTGGTAAGGTAATTGAACCTATAAACACTTGTCAATATAAATATTTAGTAAAGTGTCCCTTTAATAATTATCAGTGTTTTAAAACTGTTACTAATAGTACACAATAATTAGATTAATATAACCATAAGGGTGGTGCCTGATTGGTTTGAACTTGGCTCCAAAGGTCAAAAGTACCAGGAGGTCCTAGGTTCAAATCCAAGGAGGAATAAAAATTCTCTTGTGACCACGGAAGTTCAAATGCGGTGACTCCGGGATATCTGCAAAGCAGGTGGTCGTTCTGGGATTAGTCGGCTCGCATAGCGGGTTAGATACCCAAGTTAATAAAAAAAAAAGATTAATACTTTGTTCAAAAATAAATGTTACGTTTATTATGAGATATCGTAAAAATAAACCGTACTCGTGAAGTTCTTTCGCGGGGTCAACGAAAATATGCACTTACGTTAGTAATATACAAAACGATGTTGCTTCGACGACGTTTTAGAAGCCATGAAACATCGTTGTTGACCGTAAGGTTCCGTCAAACAAAAATGGTAATAAAAATAACGACAAATAACTCGACACTAAAAACATAAAAACCTCAATTTTGAAAAATAAAAACCATCGTTTTTTATGTGACGAAATTACATTTACGTCTTGTAAATGAATTTGCAAAGTTACATGTTTTAAAACAATATGATTTTTTTCTTTTGATAACTGTGTATGTCTGGTTCAGTTTGTATACACATTAACTAATTTCAGGAGCTTAAAAAAGAAACATTATCTCGATGTATATCGTTGCATTGTGCGAGTATCTTTTTAATATGATTCTAATTGGGTTTATGAATGGAAATCAAACATTTAAGCTTTAATTTGCAAAAATGGAATAAATTTGTGTGAAAATGGCGATTATGATGTATTATCTCTGATTGCAAGTCCTCATTGGCTATTTCGATTCTTCATGATAATGGTTGAAACCTGTGGGGACCTAAAAGACCCTACAGATCTGTCCAACTTCCATTCATCACCGTCCATCTCCAGATCATTAATGTCCGATTCCATGGCCCTGAGAGTTCCCCGATGACTTTTGTTTACTCTGCGCCCACAGCTACAAATACCACGAAATCGTTTCATCCACTCGATAACAAACCACACACTACAACTGATCATCACCATATTATTATGTTACTTCAATCTGCGATTGATTTCCAGTAGTAAAATTAACTACACGGGTTTTCATGGGGTTTCCGGCGATTTTCAGAGCTCCGACGACGAATCCAACTCCGACTACTTCCGCTTACTGCTGTAGTAGAGTTGTTGTTGGTTTGCCGGATATATTGAAGAAACGGCGATACGTTAATGGAAGAAGAGTAGTCAGTTTGAGCGTGAGAGCTACGGTGGAGAGAAATGGTGGTGATGGAATCGATGCAGGAGAGAGGAAGAGTGCCATCATCGGCGACGGAGGCGGAGGTTATTCGAGTTCTGCTATGGAGGTTACTACATTTAATCAAAGCTTCCCAGATGCAGAGTTTCCAGTTTGGGATAAAATTGGTGCTGTTGTTAGACTCAGCTATGGAATTGGTTAGTTTTCGTTTCCATTTTCTAGACAAATTAAACTGCATTTCTCTGTAGATTGAGGTCATCAATGGCGGTATTCGATTGGATTGTTGATTTGATGATGATTAACAATGGGGTTTTGATATCAATTTAATCCGTCTAATAAACATAAATCGATGAATATATAGAGATTATATATTTATATATACCTGTTTTTCTTGGATTACCCCTTTTGTTTGTTTGCAATTTCAAGAAAAAAAACTAGGTTTTATGTGAATATGCAATTAGGGAAAGACAGAAAAGTTTGATGGGGTTTAGAATTTGACACCATTTTAGGGTAAGAAGTATGTTTGAAAATCAACTATACAATTACCAAAATTCACCATACAACTTTGGCATTCAACTGTTTTTACTCTTTTCATGATTGCATATTCCTTTCTAGTAAAAGTAAAAAGTTCATTCAGATGCTCCTTTGGTGATATGATGTTTGCTTTTGGTTGATTAAGCACATGGGTCCAAGGTTCAACATCACATATACCCAACCAAAAATAGGGGAAATTGGTGTGACCTCCAACTAAGTTTAAACTAAACCAAATATATTAGCATATTTGACACTGAGTTAGGGTCTGAAAGATAGGATGTATACAAATCTTGGCCTAAATGGCAACAAAAGACTCGAATATGGGTTTCCCATCCTATTGGTGAAAGTTTCTCACTTGTTTTGTGAAGTTGGGTATCCTTTAGGAAGTAAGGAGATGTTTTGATATCGGTATTCGAAGTGATTATTATGAAATTTAAGAATCACAACAGAGGCGGAGTTAGGAGTTCTTTCAAGTGGTGGCACTATTTGATCCTAAAAAATGAAGCTACGGATGTTTTTTACAAAATCAGCATTGGGTTTTTGGTTAGTGTGTTGCTTTTTGTATGTGAGGTGTTCGAGTCTTTTATCCCAAAAAAGTCTAGTGCCTAGAAGGCTGAAGGCGTGAAAAAACTATGCAAACCAACTCTACCAAAAGAAATCTTTGTAACTATTATAATTTTAAGGATCATACAGCTACATCCTACAAAATAATACGGTGATATCTTTCATGATATTAATTTTTTTTACACCATAAGAGAGGTATGAGCCACCAATGTACCATAGTGGCCCCTCTCATGAATCACAATCAGATAATTTATTTATTTATTTATTAACCTGGATATCCAACCCGTTATGCGAGCCGACTAATCCCAGGGCGACCACCTGCTTTGCAGATAGCCCGAGTCACCGCATTTGAACCTCCATGGCCACAAGGAGATTTTTATTTCTTCTTGGATTTGAACCTGAGACCTCCTGGTACTTTTAACCTTTGGAGCAAAGCTCGAACCAATCAGCCACCACCCTTGTGATTAAATCATATAATTATTTGCAACAAAGTGACTGAAGTTATGGATATTTTGATAATTTGCATATATCTTTTATGATTAGTTTTGTTGCAGTAACTTTTTAAGTACCTTTTAGTTTTATTTTGGTCCTAGAAATTCAAAAAAGCATAATTAAAGTGGATTTGCCTAACATTGCAAAAATAATTATACCAAATGCAAATTACGTTAATGATGTTTGCAACACATTCAAACACCCTATAAATGGTGCATATGTTTGATAACTTTGGGTGTTATTTTTTGTTGAATTGAATATTTATGCGCTTGTAAATTTATTTTCTAATAATCTAACTCTTTAGTTGGGGTCTGTACGGGCCTTTTGAGATAAAGGTAAAATTTGCGTACATTTTATTTAAGGATTTGTTTGATTTATCCTATCAACGACATATTATTTACCTTCTGATATGTGGTTGGACGTTTCAAAGTGATATTGTGACGTTTAATAATCATAATCATATAATTAGTCGCAACAAAATGATTCAAGTTAAGAACAGTTGCGATACATCCAACCTTGGACAATTGTAAAAGATATAAATTCTTGAAATCGAGATAACACGATTCTTAAAAAATGAGGATTTGTATGCATTAAAAAGGCTAAGAGCTATGTTTTTATCAAGATTTGATTGTTGTTTTGTTATTGTCTCTAGATGCTCATGAATCCATAGGTGACTAATTTCACAAATTAGATGGTTAAAGATTGCAAGTTCTGATCTTTTCTCTGCTAAAAACAGGAATCTATGGTGCCATGGCTTTGGCAGGGAACTTCATATGCACAACAACAGGAATCGATAACACGGGAGGGTACTCGCCATCGTTAGACGCCATTGTGCAAGGACTCGGATATGCTGCTCCTCCAATTATGGCCCTTCTCTTTATACTAGACGTACGATTCAAGTTTTAACAATTTATCTCCCATTTGTTTATTTTTTTCTTCTTTTTCGGCCAAACAGTGGGACCTTGAAGATGACAGCCTGGAAAATTCTCAGTGACCCTAAGGAGACTAACATCTGGGATATCTGCGGCTCGTTTAACCACTTAATTCATGAACTTGGTTGAATGTAATGGATTAGAGATGACTAAAGCGAACGTGGTTTGTCTAGTGCAGGATGAAGTTGTAAAGGTGTCACCTCATGCTCGTGCCATACGGGATGTAGAAGATGAGGAGTTACGAAGCTTTTTCTATGGAATGTCTCCATGGCAGGTAAGCTGTTTGGACATCTCGCTTTGCATTTGAACATGTCGATAATTCATTGAATTTGTTGCAGTTTATACTGATCGTTGCCGCAAGCTCGGTTGGTGAGGAGCTCTTCTACCGGGCTGCTGTTCAGGTGAGTTTACTTGACACATCATTGAAAACTAGTACTAGTCTCACATCTAGACATGGATCATCAAACCTGGATATATCTCTCTATAAAGGGCTATTTGAAGGGTCTTTTGGATAAAATACCGTAAATGAGTTTTCAATTAGTAGCTAAATTTATTTATTTATGCTCGCATTGACCTTCGTCTTGACTTGCCCGTGATTCAAAACAGTCTGCTCATGTAAAAACTTAGAAATACACCTAAGGGTCATTTTTCAAAAAACGAGCTTATGGAGAAGGTCATCGAGCTAAATACCCCGCTATTATTTGAGAGGGGAATACAAAGGGTTCCATATATCCTAACAAGTACTACTGAAATCGTAAATCAATGAAATTTACCGCATCTTTTTTGCCATTCCTTGATCTTTCTTTGCAACTATGTAGGGTGCATTAGCGGACGTGTTTTTGAGGGGGAACGATCTAGTAACAAATGCAAACGGAATGGCTGCACTGGTACGATGATAACAACATTTCCCTTTGTGTTTTTCAGTTTAGAAACCGATATAAAGAGCTAAAAGGTACCATTTTTCTTGATCTCTAGACTGGTGTGTTGCCTCCATTCGTACCATTCGCTCAAGCGTTTGCAGCAGTGATCACAGCTGCCCTTACAGGCTCGCTTTATTATGTGGCTGCATCTCCAAAAGGTACATTTTTTCGTGTATTTTTAAGCTCTCGTTTCTTCATCTCGTCACTGATCTCTTTCGTTTTATTTTCACATCAGATCCTACTTACGTTGTAGCACCAGTTTTGAGTTCACGGTCAGGTCGTCAAGAGATGAAGAAGCTTTTTGCAGGTATAATAACATTCTATCCGTCTAAAACATGAAATTCAAGCAACCCGTAACCTTTTAATTTTTTTTTTTTTAACTCAATAACCTTCAAAACACTTCCTCTGGTGTCAAACACCCTTGCTCCCATTGTAAAACAGTTTGCCCCTGTAACCAATTTGTAAAAGTAACTTTATCAGGAGGTCATTTAACTAAACAGCCGGGATAGGTCCTTTGGATAAATCACCTTAATGAGTATTCAATTAGGAACATGACCTTATAAAAAGAAATTAGCTCAATGACCATCTGACCTCCCCTGGTTCAAAACAATCTGCCCCTGGTTCAAAGCAGTCTGCCCCCGTTTCAAAACAGTCTGGTTTCATCAAAATTTAGAAATACAGCAGTGGGATATTTTGCAATACCAGCTTTTGGAGAAGTTCATCGAACTAAATAGCCTGTTTAAGGTAGAGGTCAGATCTGTATCATCTTATCACTAGACCTTATTTTTGAGCGGATATACTACTTTCGAGTAGAGATGGCTAAAAATTGGTCTCGGGCCTAGCTGGGCAGGTCCCAAATCCATCCCGGCTCCGAACAAAAATTCTAGGACCAATATAGGCCCGGTCACCGGTCTCGTGCCCGGCCCAATTTAAAAGATTATTTTTTATGCAAAATGTTAAGTACATTTTTATAATTACGATTTTTTAAATTTAGTATAATACGGTTTAAATAATAAATTTAAGTAAATAAAAACTTAAAAATACTAAGAACTAAAAGAAACTTAAAAAATCTTGTAAAAGTCTTAAAAACATATTATAATTTATAAAGCCATAATTTTTTTAAAATCAGGCCTAAACATAACCGGTCCCGGGCTGGGCCTTAAAATTCTATAAAAAATGTAACTGGTCCCGGATTTGGCTCAATTTGGCCATCTCTACTTGGAAGTGGATATAATGGGTTGGTTTGGTTAGTGGCGAATTACGGGTTCATGTAAAAGAAATGGTTCATTGGTGCAATCGGGTCGCTAGAGTTGCGACTTTACCATTCTACCCCTATACTAGTCATTTTCTGTAACTTAGCTGTGTACATTCTACAGCCTGGTATGAAAGGAGACAAATGAAGAAGATATATTCTCCATTGCTGGAAGGACTTCTAGCTCTCTACCTTGGATTCGAATGGAATCAGGTAACCCCGAACTTCTGAAATGACGATTTTGCCCTCCATTTTCGTTAATTCTATTTCTTGAAATTGACATTGTGAGGAACCCGTTTCTTGTTTCGGCAGACGAATAATATTCTAGCACCCATCATAACGCACGGCATTTACTCTGCTACGATACTGGGACATGGACTTTGGAAGATTCATGATCACCGGAGAAGATTACGCCAACGAATCCTGCAGCTTAATCTAGAACAACAGAACTCAATTAAGCAGCTTAATCCAGAACAAAAGAAGTCAAGAAATATCTGAAATAGGCCTAGTATTGGTAGTTATAGAAACTGCATCCTTTTGGGATCAAGGAAACTTGTATATTAACAAACAGTAACTAGTTGTATACTATAAATAATATATACAAAAGAGACTATTTTGCCATACTTTTTATACAAAAATTGCAAAATTGTTAATTTTTTTTATATTTAAACAAATAAAAATAATTATAGTTTATAATAAAAAAAAGTAAACATGCATTAAAATGTAATGTAATGAAATTTATTTTGGTGCTATTTTTTTATTAACTTGAATATCCAACTCGTTATGCGAGCCGACTAATCTCAGGGCGACCACCTGATTTGCAGATAGTCTGGAGTCACCACATTTGAACCTCCGTGGTCATAAGAAGATTTTTATTTCTTCTTGGATTTGAACCTGAGACCTTCTGGTACTTTTGATCTTTGGAGCCAAGCTCAAACCAATCAGGAACCATCTTTGTGAGTGTTTATTACTTAAAATTCAAAAATACAAGTTAATAATTATGCCTAGGTTCATGTTTTTAAAGTATGCCACTCCCTTTGAAATCTTTACTCGCCCCTACAATCTCTCTAATCCAACTAATGTCCCTAGCCCTAGGATTTCTCTTTTTCAAAGAGCAGATAGCTATTGTTTATCGCATATCTAATGGGCGGTTTTGACTCCGTGTTTCTTATAATCACCGTCAACTTCTCTTTTCCAAAGCTTGATTGCTTCTCTTTCAAGGTAAACCTCAACCTCATGGGTTTCGACCATTGCTTCTGATTGATTTATGGTTTGTATCGATTTTTGCTTCTTTGTTTTTGACGCATCTTATTTTAAAATCTAAAAAATCTAAAATATAATTAGGATAATTATCGAGTTCTAACAAAATAATTAATTATTATCTTTATAAAAAAATTATATTATTAAACCAAATATAAATTACTTCGTTATTGTACCTAAATCAAATTATAAAAAAAATGAATTAAAAAATTACATAAAAAATGAGGAATTTCAAATAGTTAATTTGATACTAATATCGACATATTTTTGTCAAATTTTTATGATATCTTCAAACATATATTTTATTCAAAAATAAAAATATCATCGTTTTCTCAAAATCACATAAAACCATATTATAACATCGACTGAGATAAAGAATAAAATGAAATATTAAAATCACGTTGTATCTCGATGCATTACGCGAGTACGCTTCTAGTATTTATAAAAAAATATATCATTAAACAAAAATAAATCAGTTCGTTATTAACCCTAAATTAAATCCTAATAATAAAAAAAAATTAAAGAAACTACACAAAAAACGGGAACTTTTAAATTGTTAATTTGATACTAATATCGATATTTTTTAAAAAGTTTATGATATTGAGATGTGTATCGTTGTATTACGCGAGTACCCTTCTAGTATTAAGTAATGATTACAAAAAATGGATAAATGACAAAACGGTCAATTTACGAGAAGGATGAAACTGGTCAAATCACATGAGATTTACCATACGACCAAAAGGAAGATCATGTGAAAACTTGCTCGTGCAATGGTCGGTCAATATGAACCTTTTATGCCTGTTGTTAATTACACGTAATTTACTATAGAATCATATATGATTTGATTCTTCTCACACTTCTCGTAAGTTGGCTGCATTCTCGTTTAAACCCTCCACATAATTACTAACCCACGAATATTTAAACTTGGATTGAAAATCTCTGATAAATGTTTCATCATTCATGTGTTTGCTAACATGCCCAAAGTCCCCGCTGCAATATGATGACAGACTATTCCTCTCGGAACAAAAGGATCAAAACCCTCCACACCCCACGATGGATTTACAGATTGTATTTTTCCTGTTAGCCCATAAGGATCGGACACCCATACGTGTTAGCACGATTTGTATGGTTCGATCTTATGGGCCCAATCTGGTCCGTATGAATGATCCAAGTCCAACGATCCAAACTGATACGAACAAGACCTTGTTTTTTTTATTGTTGCTTCCACGGAAGCAAGTTTGAATATTTAAAATTGAAATTTTAAGCAGGTTTTAACCGATTAGTCCTTATCTAGACGTCTGATGGTCCTTTCTCAAACCAGTCTTTAGTATGAAAAAGTACAACTTATTTGTACCCAAAGAAACGGACTGATACTATTGGTCCAGTCGAGACTCTGTCTCAAATTTTTCTATACGTCTCTGGTTTGTCCCATCGTTGTTCCTAAAAAAATGCTTTATTTGTTTCAGAACATGTTCGTTATAATTTTTTTTTGTCACAAAACGACTATACTTCATTAATTTAGGTGCTATATTTTAGTCTGATAATAGAAATTACTGATTGTTTGTTTATCTCTTAATAGTTTAATTAAAAGACAACATCTGAATCGTTAAGAGATGAATCTTGTTTGACAAAAAAAAATCTGCCTCTTAATAGTTTTAAAACTCTCTGAATAATTTTGTATCATGAGCCTTCCTTAACCATTCAGCACCCTAATTCCATTATATACAATTACCGAACAATTATATTTCATTTTGCACTATATCATGAAAGCCACTTAATCATTTTGACCACTTAATCATTCTACACCAAATTATTCAGCAACCGTTAAACAACCTTCTTATAAAATATAAAAAAAAAACATTATAAATTAAATGTGTGTAGATTATTTATTTATTTTATGAAAGCCAAAGTCAAAGTCAAAATAGAAACCATTTTGATGACCTAAACATCATGAAACTATAGTGGAAATTTACATGTAAATTGAGAGAATGCCATGTTCCTAAATGTTCTCCATATTTTTAGTGGAAATCCATCCATTCAATTTATAGAATTACTTTTAATTGTTAATTTTGAATGTATAGGAATTAGGTATATATCAGTATTAAATTATACAGTGTTCTATCTAAAAGTGTTTACAAATAAGTTTGTACAGTAATATTCTATATGTCTTAATAAGTTTTTTAGGACGTTTTTAAAAAAAAATGTCAGATTAGTTATTTTATAGGAGACTTTTGAGAACCAATAAACCATCTTTTTGTAGGACACTTGTGTTTATATAAAACTCTTTCAAAATATAAATTAATTAATACGACATTTTATTTTAAATTTGTCCTATTTTTTTGTTGTTAAAACGTCATATAAACCGATCATAACACTTTAGATAAGACGCTTTTTGGTTTGGTTCTATAAAGTATATTTTAATACGCTTCTACATGTTAGGCGTCTTATAAAATCAACTTTGTTGTAGTGGTATGACAACTATATAAAATTATTTAAGAAATGGGGGAACCTTCTTTTGAGAACTCTCTAAATCGTGGGATCTCTGAGAACAACTACATCATGTATTAATTCATATGAAAAATCATCAAATGTAGACTCCGGAGGTTCAAATGCGGTGACTCCGGGCTATCTGCAAAGCAAATAGTCTCCTTGAGATTGGTCGGCTCCCATAGCGGGTTGGATATCCAGGTTATAGAGAAACTACATTGTGGCATTCAAATTAGGCCTTTTAATCATACCCGTTGTTCTTATCCAACTAATAAAATAAAGATAAATCAGATTTTTGTATATTTTAAATTTAATGTTTAAGTTCACATTCTTTCTAATCATGTGATTGGTGGACGTGAATAAGATGTGAACCTTTTGTCCCACATATACCTAGGGCCATAAACGAACCGAACGTTTAGTAATCATTCGTAAATTATTTAATGAAAAGTTCGTTTACATTTATTTACTTAATAAATAAACAAAAACAAGTTCGGTTTGTTATACTAGACGAACGAATAAAAAAATTGTCTCGATCATTTAGTTAAGAGTTGTCACTCTCACTTACTGGATAAGTGACTTAACCGTTGTCAACCGGGTAAGATTTTCGGTTCTTAGTTCTTACCATATTCATCCAATAAGATTAAAAAAACTCTGATAAACACTTACCAGGTAAATATTTAGTAAACGACTTCTTCGTTTTTCATTCCGAATAAACTATTATTCAAATATGTGGAAAAAAAAAATATTGTGCTAGTTCTTTATAAAAAAAATTATAATATTCATTCTTATAATTTTTTTTTTTGTATTTATGTGAATATAATTTTAACCATCTACGATATCTCAAAAAATTCACCATTATAACCACACAGTGTGGTGCCTGATTGGTTTGAGCTTGGCTCCAAAGGTCAAAAGTACCATGAGGTCCCAAGTTCAAATCCAATTAAAAATAAAAATCTCTTTGTGGTCACGGAGGTTCAAATACGGTGATTTCGGACTATCTGCAAAGCAGGTGGTCGTCCTGAGATTAGTCAGCTCGCATAGCGGGTTGGATATCCATGTTAATAAAAAAAATTCACCATTATATTTCTTGATTTTTCAAAAACGACAAATTTAAATAAAACAAGAAATTAGACAAACTAAATAATAATTAATTAACAACAATACGTGAATTATTTTGTCTTACAAGACTACATTATTATCGATTTAAATAATAATAAAAAATTACAAAAAAATATATTTATCCACAAAAATAAAAGAGAATTAAGGATTAGGAATTAATTACTGTAATATTTTTTTTTGTGTACGATAAATGTTATGTAAAAGAAGATTGATTAATTAATTAATAATCCTGAGCATAAAAATCAATAATTTCGTTGAGATTGAGGTTGAATAACGAAGAGGAATCATTATGCATCAACCATAACATATGCTCGAATAAGATGGCATCCACATCTACATACACCACTCTCTTCCTCTTCTCTTGATCATCAACCATCAATCTCCTTCTTCTTCCTTTTGATGATGTTCTTGATGATGATGATGATGATGATGGTGTCTTCTTCTTCTTCTTCTTCTTGTTCTTGGCCAGATCAATCAAAACCCTAAAAGGGTTCTCATCTAACACAAAAGGGTCGACTAAAAACTCTTTCTTTTCCTTCCCCACCACCACCGTGATCGGATCATCTGAACCCACGAACAAGTCGTCACTTAGCTGCCGGTAACCACCGCTGCAACGCCGGCTCAAGAGTGAGGCCGGTAGAACCAGACAGTCCATTTGGAGGAGAAAATTGATGGACAGTTTGGCTTTTGTGGGTGGAGATGAGAGCGTGTCTGTTTGTAAATCAAAAGAGAGTGTGTGTGTGTATATATATATATACATACACAGATGGTTAATGGTGGTGGAAGGAGTCAAACATATATATATATATATCTATATATATATATATCTATATATATATATATATGTATGTATATATATATGTATGTATGATTATAAAAGAGGTGTTGAAAGGTGATGTTTGGATGGTAGTAGATGAATAAAAGGGAAGCAAACGGCTAATAATGGTGTGTGGATATAAACAAAGGAACGAACATGGAGCTGTCAACGCTGCTTTGCTTCTAAAGCATATATAGCCGTTGGCTTGTCTCTCTGTCTCTATATCTCTCTCTCTCTCTATATATATATATTTTAATTATTCCTATTTTGGAGAACCAACTTTTAAAATTGTCATTTAAAGGTTTCTATCAAACTTTTTGTTTATTTAAGGGTCTGGTTGACCTGTTGACCTGTTAATGCTGACATCATCCGAATCTTTTGCCAACTAAAATATTCCACGTCATATTAATTTTTTATTTTAAAACTAATATTCCACGTCATATTTAAAATTGCAAAATAATTATAGAAAATTAACTAAAATTCATTTTTTTTTCAAAAATTATTGTAATAAAATCTAATTTTCATTTCAAATATCGTTTTTTTTAATTCAAATATATAATGAAGATTTTTTCAAAAATGGACTTCTTTATTCACAATTTGATATCTGAATTTAAAAAAAAAAATGAGATTTGAAATGAAAAATAGATTTTATTACAATAATTTTTGAAAAAAACGAATTTTAGTTATTTTTCTATAAATATTTTGCAATTTTAAATATGACGTGGAATATTAGTTTTAAAATAAAAAATTAATATGACGTGGAATATCTTAGTTGGCAAAAGATCTGAATGATGTCAGCATTAACATGTCAACATGTCAATTAGACCCTTAGATAAACAAAAAGTTTAATAGAAACCCCAAAATGACAATTTTGAAAGTTTGTTCCCCAAAATAAGAATTAGGTGAAAGTTGTTTACATTTTGGTGCAATTTTCCCTTTCTAATATAAAGTATTGATCACAATTAATAAACTTTATTCATCTTTAATAAATAATTAAATCATAATAAATGAGTTCTCATCATTTTTATAAATATCTCAATTAATTGGGTTGCATTGGTTGTAGAAATTTGATAGGTTGCATATGAAACGTTCTCTCTCTCTCTCTCTCTCTCTCTATATATATATCTATATATATATACACACACATGTGTATATATAGTTTTATACAACGTATTCAAATACAACTCATATGAATTATACAATCAATTTAACTCGCCTATTAATTATTATTTATTTTTTTAATTAAAAATAGTTACAACCGATCAAATGGTAACTGTTAATGATCGAATTGACGTTCTTAATTTGGTTGTAACCTTTAATTTTTAATTAAAATAAACGGAGTTTTATATCTAAAAAATTGTAAAATATATTTTTGAATAAACTCCACTTTTCATCCCTTGGTTTGCATAAATATATGCATTTTGTATTGATGATGATTCTAAGCCTAACTTTGTTAGTTGAAAGGCATTTGTCATTTATTTTTTATTTAAAATATTTAGTGTACAATTTTATATAGTTTACGGACATGCATCAGTAGCACCTAAAAAACGATCAAAACCCAAAAGAAATCCATGACAGAAAGATTCGTCAACACCAGATCACATAAACACCCAAAAGAATTCTAAATTAGAACCCCAAAAAAAAAATCAGATCAAAATTCAAGATTGCAGGTTTTGAAAGGATTTTCTTGGATCCACGATGAAACTGAAACCGATTTGTGACGAAATCAAAATCGAGAACCCATTTGAATCCTTTGGTGTTTCTGCAAGTTTTATATGAAAAATGAAAGAAATCAGAATAGCACCAGAGTTTCTGTGGTGGTGGAGAGAACTGAGAAATGTAGAAGGCCTCTTGTATTGTCGTCGAAGATGAGGTTTATAATCACAGGGATTGCACTTGTTGGAAAAGAACAAGGATGGGACGATGAGGGTTAGATTTACGTTTTTTTTAATGTAAATCATACTTATACACAAGCCATATAAACTTGTACATTAACATTTTTTAATAAAGAAAAAAGACCAAATAACTGAAATTTGTTTACCTATTAATAGTTCCATTAAGAGACAACCTCTGAATAGCTAAGAGGTGAATCTTGTTTGATAAAAAAAAATATGTCTCTTAATTGTTCTAAAACACTCTGAGTGATTTTGTAACTTGCATCTCCATTAACCATTCAACACCCTAATTTTATTCTGAATAATTATCAAACAATCATATTTCATTTTGCGTTATATTACAAGAGTCTCTTAATCATTCTGAATCAAACCATTCAACAACTGTTAAACAACCCTTAAGAGCATTCCAACTAAGATAGTTAGGCTTAAGAACCATACCAAAGCAAAACACAAACCTAGTGACTATATTTCCATTTTTGAAAGTGTAGGGGCCACTTTTGAGTTCTTTCACAAACTTCATGGACCAAAAATGGAATTTACTCTACCTTTTTTATTAGTAATTGAAAAAATATTTTCCGTTGAGAAAGAGCGTGGGGAGCGTGTGGGCATTTACTTTCTCGTCGACTTTCACGAGAAAAGGTCAATTTTTTTTAAAAATTGAAAATAATTATTTAATAAAAAATAAACTATTTTAATTTATTTTAAAATATTTAGTTTTAAAAGTAAAAATTTATGGTTTGTTTGTCGGTTGCTGAATGGTTTGATGCAGAATAATTAAATGGTCAGAATGATTAAAAGACTCTCATTATATAGTGCAAAACAAAATATTATTGTTTGGTAATTGTTTACAATGAAATTAGGGCGCTTAATGGTTAAGAGAGACTCATAATACAAAATCATTCAGAAGGTTTTAGAACCATTAAGAGACAAACTTTTTGTTTGTCAAACAAGATTTACCTCTTAACGATTCAGAGACTGCCTCTTAATTGAACTATTAAGAGGTAAACAAACAATCCATAAATCCTATCTAATCATATAAACCAAACAGGACCTAAGAAATCAATTAGACATCGATGCCAATAGATCGATATTTCCAAAGCATAGAAGGAACGGGTCTAAGATTCGAGCATTGATGCCATATGATATATTTTATTTTTCTGTTTAGATAACACGCTCAACTAAAAATATAGCAGGTTATCGATAACTTTTTTTAGTTAAGGGAATATATTTAATTGATTTTATAAAATTCTAGGATATGTATGTTAAAAAAACTAAAGACTTAGGGGCCGTTTACCAAATACTTACCCGGTAAGTGATTACTAATAAAATTTAACACTATTATTTACTTATTGAGTAAAATTTTAGTCCATCAAAACAACGATCGTATGCAACAATTTACCCGGTAAATGCTTACCGTATTGGTAAGAGTCGTCGCCCTCACTTACCGGGTAAGATTCTTAGTCCTCGTCTCGCTCTTACCGGGTAAAATTCTTGGTCCTTACCATATTCATCCGGTGAGAGATAATGTGACTTAGTAAGCGCTTACCCGAATAAGCGTTTAGTAAACGGGTCACGCGAAATCTAAAAATTCATTGGTTTTTTTTTTTTTTGAGTTTCCCTTTATTTTTATTGGGAACCTGATTTTTATTTGAATTTTGGTTGAAGATTTATTTTGTAATTTAAAGTTACAAAACATTAAAAATCATGAAAATACAAAAATAAAATTAAAAACGATGGACGTTTATTAATATGAGTTGGTAAACATACCAAAACGAGATACATTTTGGTTAAAATTGAAGCAATAATTTAATATATTTTTTATATTATTTGTTTATTTATGAATTATTTTGTAAGAAAAGATGGTGTTTTCTTGCTTAAGCAACATGTATTGCTTAAAAGGGAGTATATTTTTAGTTCATGAAACAATTCTTTAAAAACTATATATATATATATATATATATATATATATATATATATAT